GGTTATAAGTTATCTCTGAAGACCAAGCCTGTATAATATGTAAGGCTCCACTATTTGCAAAGGCTGATACATGTATAAGTTTGCTCCTTTGGATTTGTTTTCTCATTTGTTATAACGTTCTTTTTATTTTATCCATTCTCTGATTTGTTATAGCTTTTTAAATTTTATCCATTAATCCTTTTTTAGCATTATTACTAGTCACCATGAATGTTCTTTTTAGTGGTAAGAAGGGGTAGAAATGTAGTTCTCTAATAATAATGAAACAATATAAAGTAGCAGGAGCCACAGACACTCCTAAGCCTAAATATATCAGGCAGAGAATCAAATGAAAGCCATATAAATCCATAGAGCAAACTGGACTGTGGAGAAGTTGGTTCCAGAAAGCACCCTCCAGATTTAAACTAAGGGCTGTTTCACTTGGAGAATGCTAGTCTTTCAAAGACCATTATAGTATCACTAATGATGTTAGAGTTATTAAAGTTATTATAATATTAATTTATTTTATTTATTTATTTATTTATTGTATTTATACCCCGCCTATCTAGTCATTTCGACCACTCTAGGCGGCTTACAAAAAAATTTATAACAATTAATTAATTAAATGATTCTATAAGATGGGAAAAATAAAAATAAATCAAATAAAGAGAGAAAAAAAGGAAAGAGGACAGGAATTAACTGGAAGGGAAGGCCTGCCTATACATCCATGTTTTTAGTTGGTTCTTAAAGTTATTTTAAGTTATTAAATATCTCTTTTGCTCAGATTTAGAGCTGTCCCAAATGGTATATGTACTAGTTCATTTAAAGAGGTACATTATTTATCATAGTACAGTTCTTCTCAACCAGTCATAATAAGGTGTGACAGTCAGGTTCATTATGTCAGCTGTATTATTTAGTGATGGCAGTTTGCCTGCAAATAATATCACCTGGTATTTTAAGTTATTAAATATCTCTTTTGCTCAGATTTAGAGCTGTCCCAAATGGTATATGTACTAGTTCATTTAAAGAGGTACATTATTTATCATAGTACAGTTCTTCTCAACCAGTCATAATAAGGTGTGACAGTCAGGTTCATTATGTCAGCTGTATTATTTAGTGATGGCAGTTTGCCTGCAAATAATATCACCTGGCTCTGTTTGTACTTTAGCAAGGAGGATTACAGAACACTGGCAGTTCCTGTGTTCTCCTTCATTTTGAGAGGATTATGCTTTTATCCTTTCTACATCTATATCTTTTTTTAAATTGTCTTTTTCTGAGACTAATGCTGACTGACATGAACAATGCTACAGATGCCTTGATAGGTCTGTGTTTGCATTTCCACCTCCCAATGGCTTAAGGCTGCTTTTTGGAGACTGGTGAAATATATTGGGGGCATTTGTTTTATCCTAAAAAAGCTGAACAAAAACATTAAGATTATCATTCTTTAGGTTGTGAACCCTATTTGCCTCCGCTGACACTTGCTGGATTCGGCACTGCTGGCTCTTAATTTCGCCAATATAGCCTAACCATTGTGTACTGGCAAATGATGTATGTTAACTATGACTCTTATTGTCAGGATCTTTATGTAATCAGCTCCTTGGATGTTCATTAGCTTCATTAACATTGCAATGTTCACTTTGAAAGATTATTACTTGAAATTGTAATCCATCCATTTCTCCTAGTCTTTCACAACCATGTACACTGCATATATAAACTAGTACCCTAAAAAGTGTAATCCATAAAGCTCATGCTGAAACAAGTCTGTTAGTCCTAAAGATTCCCCAACATTTCTGCTTTTGTTTTTGCTGTCCATGCTGAAACAGACAAAATAGCTAAATTTGTCCATTGCTGTTATAAATGTACAGTAACGTGGGCTTAACTGGTCCACAGATTTTATACATATAAAAAATATCACTATTTCATAAAAACCATTTATAACTATGAATGAGAACCATTATAATATTGGGCAAGTTTGGCAGTTTTAAAACTGTCTGAGCTAGCAGAATTGTTATTATAATCCTAAGCAAAGCTTAAAACTATGGTTACTTGGGCCATACTTGTTCGAAGATTAATGTTTAAAAGACAGGAGTAGAGAGATGCTCAGGATCTCTGTGAGAGAATGGACACCAAGAGAGAGTGACTGGCTGAAGGTTACACAGTGAGTCCCAGGGCTGAGTAAGGATCAGAAACCAGACCTCTCTAATTTTACTTCTTCTCCTAGTTGGACATTTAGACCCCTATGTCAGATACTTCTGTTTATATACTTCTGGGCTGCTGGAACATTTAAAATTGTACTCAGTGGATGTAAGTTAAATAAATATACTAAATTGGATTACAATCTATTTAAGACACTAGAAACATTTCCAAAAGCTTCCCAATTCAGCTTTCTCAAGAAAGCACAAGTCTTTAGTGGAAAAGAAAGAAATATAATTTATGCTCAGAAATGACAAATCATGCTACTGTTTGTAGTGGAGAATATTGCATTATTTTAAAGCAAGGATTGATGTATTCTAGTGTTTGAAGTAAAGGGAACATGTAATTGGCAGAAGGTAATATATTTTGAATCTTAAGCAAAACTTACTTCATTGAAATTACATTACTAGATTGCAGTCAGTTTAAGGAATGCATCTTAGACGTCGTCTAATATTTGCAAAGTGATCCAAATAATTCTTAATGATATCTGCAAACTACTTTCTGTAACAGAACAAATATGTTAGCATTTCACAGCTTCTGATTAAATCACTGGCAATCCTTCTCAAATTTAACTTGGACTATAATCTATAAATTTCATCAAGCTGGAATTTAAAGTTAAGAGTGTGTAAACCAGGAGGGATTTTTTGAATACATAGACCTGAGAAGAATGCATAGACCCTTAGTCCAACATTGCTATTATTAGATAGAAAAGGCATGCTGAATTGGAAATGTAAATAGTGGTAATTTTGTGACAAGACAATATAAGAATCTTCAGCAATCTAAGACTGAAGTGTATTCATTTGCCTCCAGTTCAAGAAATATAGTAGTTATCTGAAGCATTTACTTTAACTGAGAGTAGACTTCAGTTCTCTCTTGTGGGGTAAGGCAATAGGGACTTGCATTTCAGCTATAAAATGGGAAAGAGTGACGCTTCCCTAAAGATATCACTTGCGCTTTCAACAGAAACCTGCAGGCAGAATATGACCGGCTGAAGCAGCAGCATGATCACAAAGGATTGTCTCCACTGCCATCCCCACCTGAGATGATGCCCGTTTCCCCACAGAGTCCACGAGATGCTGAACTCATTGCAGAAGCCAAGCTGCTTCGTCAGCATAAGGGCCGCCTAGAAGCTAGGATGCAGATCCTTGAAGATCATAATAAACAGCTGGAGTCACAGCTACACAGATTGAGACAACTGCTTGAACAAGTGAGTCTTCAGTGTACATTCTCAGAGTTGAACCGTATCAAAAGCAAATGGCAAAATTAGTAGCAGACGTTTGTATATATCTTGAATCTGGTATCAAATGGAGAAAGTACCATATTATCACTGGCTGGCTCCAGAACATTTAAATGTCTTTGTTTAGTTAATTTTGTTTAAATCTGTCACAAATACTGTATGTTGCAATTGAAAAATGCTTACGTAAATATTGTGCAATACTGTACAAAATAAATCCTTAGAATATCTTGCTTAGTTCAGTGAGTCTCACTTCTGAGATATGCATATGTATGTACTGCTCATAATTTTGTTTTCCCTTGTTTGAAGGATGTTATGTTTCTTTCCTTTGGGTATTTCAGCCTCAAGTGGATGCCAAGGTCAACGGTACAGGTCAATCTTCTCCTCCTCCTGCCTCGTTACAGAGGTCAGATAGTAATCAGCCGATGCTCCTTCGTGTAGTTGGAAGCCAGACTTCAGAATCTATGGGTAAGATGAATTTTAAATTCCCAAGAGGGGAATTATCTGCAATTTATGATCAGCTCTCCTATTGCTGTTTTGATTTGTGGCTAACTTGGAACCCTTCCAGGTAATCAGGATTTCTTGCACTGTACATTTATTCTTTCTTTAACCCATTTTTATTCTGCTTTTATTTTTAAATCTAAGGGCAGATACAATATAAGTAGTTGAAGACAATAAAATTAATTAAAATGAAGATTATTAAAAACTAGTGTGTGTGTGTATACACACATACACAGAGAGAGAGTTCTTACTGAACTGTAGTCCTTCAAACCTTAACACGCCCCCATAAATATAGGTGAATCTTCCTCTTAAAAAAATCCAACTCCCTTTTTGTTCCTGAACGTGTGTGTGTGTGTGTGTGTGTGCACGCGTACACACACGTACACACACACACACATAGTTCTTACTGAACTGTAGTCCTTCAAACCTTAACACGCCCCCATAAATATAGGTGAATCTTCCTCTTAAAAAAAATTCAACTCTTTTTTTGTTCCTGAAGGTGTGTGTGTGTGTGTGCACGCGTACACACACACACGCACACACAGTTCTTACTGAACTGTAGTCCTTCAAACCTTAACACGCCCCCATAAATATAGGTGAATCTTCCTCTTAAAAAAAATTCAACTCTTTTTTTGTTCCTGAAGGTGTGTGTGTGTGTGTGCACGCGTACACACACACACACACACATAGTTCTTACTGAACTGTAGTCCTTCAAACCTTAACACGCCCCCATAAATATAGGTGAATCTTCCTCTTAAAAAAAATTCAACTCTTTTTTTGTTCCTGAAGGTGTGTGTGTGTGTGTGCACGCGTACACACACACACACACACATAGTTCTTACTGAACTGTAGTCCTTCAAACCTTAACACGCCCCCATAAATATAGGTGAATCTTCCTCTTAAAAAAAATTCAACTCTTTTTTTGTTCCTGAAGGTGTGTGTGTGTGTGTGCACGCGTACACACACACACACACGCATAGTTCTTACTGAACTGTAGTCCTTCAAACCTTAACACGCCCCCATAAATATAGGTGAATCTTCCTCTTTAAAAAAAATCCAACTCCTTTTTTGTTCCTGAAGGCTTTAAATTCCTTACCAGAGCAGGGGCAACACATCTTATAAATATTCTCCCATTTTCAGTTGAAATACTCCTGCTTTTTTCCAGAGCTTTTTCATTCCAGCATTTGGAGGAACACTTCAATTTTCTTCTGCAAGCTACAATCAGTTTCTTTCATTTTTCTGCTTTCCTGCATGTTTCCTTTCTCTCTCAATCTTAGCTTGCAAAGTGACTGCTTGAAGCTAGAGACAGGGAACAGGAAGAACAGCAGAGAAGACTATGTTTAATTTCCAAGTAACAAAATATCATGCAACTCGGCCTAGAAGAATTTCTTAGTGGCAACTTGCTTGCCAAAGTTATGCCTTTTGCATAACTCTGTAGTAGGATTTAAGCCACTGAGATATCCTTTAGTTGTTTTCACTGAATTGCTCCCCGTTATGATGGTGATTAGGTTTTAAGCTATTCCTTTTTCTTCTTGCCTTAATACTTTTAAAAAATGATGCATGTAGAAAATAGACCATTCTACGTGATGAGCTCTGCCTATAAGTACTTCAAAATAAGAACTCTTTGGTGGCTTTGGATGTATGGTATACAGTCATAATGACTGTAAGAGCTAATAGCACATCAACTTAAATTTTCCAGTAATACCAGACTTGTTCTATGCTGTACGTTCACCAGTTTTGTTATCTGGCAACTAAAACAATATTTGGTTGTAATACTTACATAGCATCATCAATGTACATATTAATCTTAAAAAATGGGACAGGAACAAGGTTCCCTCTAAGGTACGTGTCTGAATGACTCCGCCTCCCTCTGCACAGCTTTCCTCCTCCATGCAGTGATCGTTTTCATCCCCTTTGGTTCTGGTTGCGACAGAACCCCATGTGCACACAGGGGCGAAGTCATCTACGAAATAGGTGGATCCCTGCCGAGTGGGGCTGAAAATTAGAGAGTATGGTGGAAAGGAATACTTTATTTATTTAAAATATTTCTATCCCACCTTTCTCCCCAAAAGGACCCAATGCAGCTTACATCATTAAAACAGCATTCAAAAGCTAAAAACAGCAAGTATAGAAATATTTAAGAATTAAACAAGTATTATATTAAAATGGTAACTAAGATCAGTATTAAAACACATTTAAAACAACAGAGCACAACAATCCATTTGAAACCCCTCTCAGACCACCAGTCATTAAGGAAAAGCTTGCCTGAAGAGAAAAGTCTTTGCCTGCCTGTGGAAGAACAGCAAAGATGTGGGAGGGAGTACCAGAATTTGGGAGCAGCAACAGAGAAGGCCCTGTCCTGTGTCACCACCAAGTGCACCTGTGAGGGTGGTGGGACCGAGAGAAAAGCCTCCCCTGATAATCTTAATTCCTGGGCAGGCTCATAGAGGAAAATGCTGTCTTTTAAATAGTTTAGACCCAAACAGTTTAGGACTTTATATATTGAAAAACAGCACTTTGAATTGTGCCAGGAAACAGATTGGCAGCCAGTGGAGCTGCTGTAAAAGGGGAGTGATATATTCCCTATAACCAGTCCCAGTTAACAATCTTGCTGTGCATTTTGGACCCTTTGACGTTTCCAAACACATTCCAAAGACAGCTGCATGTAGAGCACGTCACAGTAATCCAACCGAGATGTAACAAGGCTGTGGCCAGATGAGACCTCTCAAGAAATGAGTGCAGCTGGTACACTAGTTTTAACAGTGCAAAGGCACTCCTGGGCACTGCTGAAATCTTGGCATCCAGGTTCAGAGATAAATCCAGGAACACCCTCAAGCTGTGTGCCTGTGTTTTCTGAGGAAATGTAACTCCATCCAGCACAGGTTGGAACCATATTCCTTGATCTGTTTTTTTTTACAAGCCAGGAGCACCTCTGTCTTGTCTGAATTAAGCAGGTTGGAACCATATTCCTTGATCTGTTATTTTACAGGCCAGGAGCACCTGTCTTGTCTGAATTAAGTTTCAGTTTATTCGCCCTGATCCAGTCCATTACTGATACCAGACAACGATTTAGAACTGAAACAGCTACTGAGAGGTCCAGCAATAATCAACAGGGACACACTCCCCATGTCCAGTTCCTGGCATAGGTCGTCCAGCAAGGCAACCCAAGCAGTCCCTGTCCCATTACCAGGCCTGAAGACAGATTGAAATGGATCTAGATAATCCATCTCAGCCAGGAATTCCTAGAGCTGAGAAGCCACAACCTGCTCCAGCACTTTGCCCAAGAATGGGATATTAGAGATTATCTGGCAATTGTCAAGTACTCTGGGATCCAATGAGTTTTTTCAATAATGATCTTACTACTGCCTCCTTCGCCCAAGAATGGGATATTAGAGATTGTCTGGCAATTGTCAAGTACTGTGGGATCCAATGAGTTTTTTCAATAATGGTCTTACTACCGCCTCCTTTAAGCAAGCTAGGATCCTACCCTGCTGCAATGAGGCATTCACTATCTCTTGGACCACTTGGCCAGGATGGGCAAAGGTCTAGAGACAAGTGGTAGCCTTCACCTCTCCAAGGGTCCTGTCCACATCATCAGGCTTCTGAAACTGAAACTTATCCATTAACACCGGACAAGGAGGAGCCATCGTTACAGCATCCAAGTCAGAGCATTATTCTGAGGTAGTGAATAATGCAAGAATTCTGAAGAAAATCTTCTGTGACATCTGAATTCTCCATTTATGTGTTACTTGGCCACTGGGTCATAACGCTTATTCAAGGTTCCATATTTTTGCTATATGCTGTCACGTTGCTTCTGACTTACAGCAGCCCTATGTATTAGTGACCTCCAAGAGGCCTTATCATTAACAATCTGCCTCAGGTCTTCCAAAATCTTCTTTAGACTACAGATAAAACATTCTGCAGCTTTTATTTAATGCAACTGTTAATACTCATTTGTCAGTTCTGATTTATTTGCTAGGGAACACATTTTAAGTCTTACCACATCATCATTAAAATGCAGCTCACAACCACAAAGCCTGGTTGTCGAAAGGGAAGTGCTCCTCTCTTCCCATCCCCCACAATTACTTTCACCATTTTCTTTGTACAGACACATACAATTTTGGAAATAATTTATTTTACCCTTACAGCCCTTCATCACTTCTTAACTGGAAGCTTGATAATTTAGTGAAAGGTGAAGGAATCTATGTGTGTCTGCATATATGTGAACACTTCTGTTAGATTATTAGGTAGGAGAGTTTTAGGGAGGGAGGGAAACAGAATTAAGTTCCCTTTGGCTGCAATTCTGGAAACTAAAGTTTTCATAAGTCCCAAGTGACTGGCTAGAGTCAAAGAATATTCACCAGTGGCATTATTTATGTGACCAGGCTTTCATATGGTTCTTATTAAATTCAGTATATTTCCTTTGTTCCATTCTTGTTATTCCAGGTGAGGAAGATCTGCTCATTCCTCCCCAAGACACAAGCACAGGGTTAGATGAGGTCATGGAACAGCTCAACAATTCCTTCCCAAGTTCAAGAGGTATGTTTAGCGCTTGGAAGCAGATACTTGTTTCATTATATGCAGTGTAGCTTCCTTGCTCATCGGTATCCTGTTCAAAAACTGTTGTACAGGTGAAGGGTTTGAGTCTAAGAGTGACAACACAATACCAAAATATTTCTAAAGCCTGTACCATGACCACTCTGACTGAGAATATTCTCTCTCTCTCTCTAAAGTTATATCACTAGATGTGAATGTTCCACATTATGCTTGTGTAAGGCTTCATTCATTTCAGTGGGCCAGTCTGCATATGGAAGGGAACTCCTTCTAAAACAGATACTGTATTTTTGCTCCAGACTATTCATATCTTACTATGCCCCCCCGCCCACCATTCTCCCCATCTCCCAGTTTCCCCTATTTTGTCAGAGTTGTATTGATGTTTGCTTCCATTTTCAAATTTCTGAAACACATACATCATTTTGTGCTCTGGTGCCAGAAAGAGAACAAAACTTAAAAGAGATTAAAGCCAAACATCTGAAAAAATAATATGATGGCTCATTTAACTGATGAGAAGAGATGAGGATTGGTGCTCATTGAGTTCAGAGACATTTTTTAAAATGTATGTTTGGAACTTTTGCTTTCTTTTTGTAGGTGAGCACAAGTAATATTTGAATAATAATCTCCAAACAATGTGTGGTGCTCAAGAAAAGGTCATAGGTAAATCTGGCTATGGCACATTTATGGTAGGAATGGGCAATAAGTTAGACCTCCGAATGATTGGCTGGAAGTGTTTCTGACTTCCAGCTGTTTAAGAAAAGCAGCAGCTGTTAAGTCTTCTTTGAGGAAAAGCAAAGTTGGGGAGATCCAGGAACAGCTGTTTTTGTGAAAAGATGAAAAAGTCCAGTCTGCTCATGTGCTGTCCAGGCAATCAGTGCAGGATAGGCAAAAAATTCCTGATCACCTTTTTGGTCAAAAAGCCAATAAGGTACCGTAAGTGTGGTCTAAAAATTCCTACCAAGCCCTGAGGCAAACTAGGCAAAACTGCACTTAATCCACATGGAAGGCAAAGGGCCATCTAAAAGCATAAGAGCCAACACTAGGCTGAAGAGGACTCAAAAGCCAACACCAGCATTGGCATGTGTGGAGACAAAACTACACTGTCGCACTTTTCCATCCAGACAAGCAGCACAGGGTCATACATCTTTTGCATTCCGTATACACTTTGAGAAAACCATTTCTAATTAAAATATGACTTTTAAAGAAGCAAGGGAGAAGAATAAATAATTGTAATTTTACTAAGAAACATACTTGTTGAAAGCTATATGGAAAGAGGTGAACACTCTAAAACACTAAGTTTGTAACGAATACTATGCAAATGCAACCCAGGCAGGTGCAGGACCCTACAGAACACAGGAAAACAGATTGCCATATTTTTCTATAGTTCATAGGTTGAGCTGAAAAGCTTTGGAATAGTGCCACAGAACAAGGTCTCTGTGCACAAGTACTCAAGTTGCTATTTTAAAGAACCAAGACGTATGTTCCTTTAAGTCATCTAGTAAGAATAAAAGGGAAATCCAAACCAATATTTGGACAGCTAGATCAAAATGATGATCATTGAATTTTGGCTCTGTTTTGACCCTCACATATTTAAGCCATTAAGTAAATGTAAAATTGCAACAGCAACAACAAAGTTGTGGACTGCAACCTTAGACTTAAAAGATTTCTTAGGGCGAGTTTGAATATACTTGTTTTTGAATCAAGTATGACAGTGGAATTTTCAGACTGACACATTTCTAGTAATTCTTCATTAGTAATGGGGCAGTTAAAGAGCAGCAATGAATATTCAGTTTGGTGTTGTAGACAGAAATTAAAACTAGGACTCAGAAGGCCTGGATTCGAATCTTCACTAAGCCATGGAAACTCACTAGGAGGTAGAACTGGTAAAACCATTCCTTAAATATCTCACCTTGAGAGCTGTATTAGGGTTGCGGTAAATCGTTCTGTCTTGATGACACAAGACAAAGGATCTATAGAATTTTAGGCTTCCTCATTACTCTGGTTATCTGAGTTATCACTTATTATAAGCCTGTCACATGTTTAGGGTCTCCACAAAAGGCCCTTTTAAGGATATCCTTACTTGCAAAGGTCCCTTTCTTCTGCACATATGAAACGATTTTTTTCCCCTGTGTTATTCCCAGGTTAGGGAAAGCTAGGGAAGTCCTGTTCATGGGAGTGTTTGTGTTCTGGACTCATACCTGCAGGATTTTCCAGACAGAATTCTGAGAATTCCAGCCCACATACCCATACCTAGAGGCACCTACATTTTGCTCGCTTGGAGAAGGATCTACTCTGAGGCTGCATGGCCTCCTCCGGTTTCTATT